CGCTCTTTTACCACCTTATGAAATAAAAAAAAATTACAACTCTTTAACCATAATGTAACAATGACAGTCGCTCCAATGATAACTGAATAAAAATTATGAATATTAGAAAGTTTGGAAAGGAGAGGCGAGGGACATCTCTGCTTCATGACTAACGAATCAACATAAATTATAACTTTATATTGAAGAGAAACGATTTATGAGCTAACTTGTGACGTGAATCGTATGCAAAATGGCGAATCGAAAAACTTTACCAATTCACATACTATAACAGAATGAATGTAGTTTTTAAAGCCAGAATCTTTTATATCAAAGCAGAACAGATAAGATATTACTTGCTCTACAATTTAGTTTTACGCACAACAGTAAAAACCGTTATTTACTACAGGCAAAAGATATAACTCATTCATAGTGAAAAAACAGCGATTTTAATGTTTTTGCGCATACCTAAATATGTTTTATATGAATGCGGTTTGGTATGTATGTACAATTCATTGTGAATTATTGCATCGACTAAGCACATGAAGTGGACGTAGGATCAAAAATTCTGAATTAGTGAAAAGTAACTTTGATTTTTGCGCGTCAAAACTTCTTTTTACCTAAACCAATTTTTTATTTTTTGAATACATCCAAAAAAGTTTAAGTATTTTATGTAAAATCAGTTTATTTAGTTTAAATTACATATTTCAAATTTTAAAATCCTTGTTTCCAAAAACATACACTAGATGGCGCTATCCACTAGTGTCCATAGTCAGGATTTTTGGTTTTTATAAAATCAAGGTGTTTAACAGAGAAAGCTAACGGTTAAAGTGTTCGAATTAAAACAGACAGTTCGAAATTAGAATGCTAATACATCGACAGTTCATTCACTACACGTCAGTAACACAAGGTTTAATTAACGGCCGGAATTATTGTGACTGCATGACTCATTTATACCACTGACCACTACGTTTGTCAGGTACCAAAATGGAAAGCAGTAAAATGACATGCAATGTAATTAAATTATTGTCATTCGAAGCAAAATTCACTTTAAATTCAATATACTGCAAATTCTATACCGTTCTTGACTCTTGTTTACCATAAAACTCTTAAAATTAACAATTGTTTCAATTTAAATAATAGACGAAAAATCCCAGTAATAGAAATCCTTGAGGTTGTTGAAGAATTTAAAGCAATAAATAACGATGACGTAGTATATTGCCCTAATATAAAAATAGTCTTCACGATTAAATAAAAATAGAATGAAAAAAACTCAATAAGTCAATAGTTCCGCAAATCAGGTCTATATTTCATTTCATATCTGCAGTAACGCATAACCAATTACTTCTGATATGCGATGATTATGCAATTTGTAGTGTATTGAGTATTGATTCATAATAAATCCAATGTACAATCTGTTAATTGGGTTAACTCTATATTACCTTTGTAGCACACATCATTCAATTAATCAGTTTAAACCCAACAGTTTTTTTTACATCATGGATTAAATTTAATTAAAGTTTTCTAACGATAAACTATCAAATCTGTTGGCTGCTTGACCAAATCAGTACAAAGAGGATCTTTTGACATTTTTAACGTTGACAAGATGGCGCTAGTGTGCTGTCATATTTTAATTTGACTTATACCCAATGGTTCAGATAGCCTTGTCGGTCTATACAATTCCTAAAAATGTTTAGATACATCTAACAACCAATAAAAAACTGATCTAGTAACTGTCAATAATGCTATGGGATTAAGGTAGACGGAGACACATGTGGTCGCTGTCCAATCGCTCAAGAATAAGTAACACGATACCCAATATAACATTATTGACAATTTAGTGTATTGTAGTGAGGACACTCTTATAGCTTTTAATATGATTGAAATGAAAATTCTTAGAATAAGTACAGTCACTTCGTATGCGATATTCTAGATGTAAAACAAGCTTATCTGGGAAAGCCGATATTTAATACCTATAGACATAGAAAATGACATAAAAGAATAAACATGACAAGACAGCTACGATACGACAGGAAACTTCTGACATTTTCAGATTTGTCGCAGGGAGTGTGGTACCGACAAAGATGATTGACCCGACTGATTTCAAGACTTATTCAAGGTAAGGGATTTTCTATGGAAATAATGATGTTGTTTTGACAACAGATCATTCCATATTGCAGTTCGTGAAACAAAAGATAAAATTACATGATACTTTCGGTTCAAGGACATTGTTTCTTTTTAAATTGTAAAGTATATCGCATAAATAAGGTTGACATAAATGCATCGGCTAGACGGCTCCAAGCATAGTATGCGGCGAAACTCCATTACGAGACGCATTTGCAAATAATTGCTTATTCAGCTTGAGTTACTGTACATCGGAGACACATTAGTAGATGAAACTAAAAGTAATTTGTTTAAGGAAAGAATAAACTGGCTTTTTAAAATTTCCTCACTCGATTTCCCTCTTAAAAAAGAATTTAAATATCCTGAAATAGATGCTTAATTATTTGTACTGTGAGAAATTTATGGCAATTTTCTCAAGACCTTTATGGAATTAATCCTATGTTTTTTCTTGGCACCAAAATAACAGAAATATCTGTGATTAATTTTGTACAGACAATAGATGAGATAAAATTAGAAATGTTGCACTATGAATTATTCCCATTCTTAATTTAAACACGCTCTTTTTTGTAGGTCTATATCGATTCAATGTCAATTACCTTCTTGACCTTCATTAGGAATTGAATCTCAGTAAGATGCAACCATCTCTTATCGTTCGATTATGAATGCTTTAGCAATACGCCTCATTTGCTGTGTTTCGTTCCATTAATTAGTACTTTATAAGGCCGATCTATTGTTGTTCTAAAATATGATTCGACTATTATGTTAAGACAAGTAAACTGAATAGAGCACTTATAGGTAATTTCAAAAGCCATGCTAAACCAAGTTCACAATTTTAAAACTAAAAAAAGAGGTCGAATAGAAATCTGTATGTTGTTTACTTCAAACTGTATAAGTACTTGGAACATTAGGATATTAGCGTCTTATTACGAACATTAGAACAAAGCATTTAATTGGCGATTTATGAACACTGCATATTCCCACGCGCAAACAACCAAACCTTACACATATGGAGAGAAATAGTTTAGAAAAGTTTGATACTTTAATGTAGTAAGAAGCTAAACGACTCGACTCTTCAACTCAACGATTATATCGTGTAATCTAATTTAAACTTCATGGTATTATCTTAAATGAATTGTTACGTAAGACCTAACGTGTTTATTGTTATACTCTGAGTAGTTTAAAAATAACGACTCTTCAATGGATACTTACCATCAGATTCCAATGTCGGCAAACCCATATGCATATGCCCCATGCATATGCAAGGGAGAATATACGTAGGCATTTTCCTCACATAAAAATCTACATAATGGTACACGGTACGGTTGTATATGATTTAGCGAATTAAAAAAAAATCTAGAAGCGTTTACTAAAATTTTAACGCAGACACGACTAGTTTAGAAGGAAAACCATTTAGATATAAATTGCCAACATACCAACTCCGCATTATAATGCAATATCAGCTAACATCGTCTAACTAAATTCAATGCACGAGTTTAAAGGATGTAAACAAGATTGCATGAATATAGACGATGTGTGGCAACAACAGAATACTGTCTAAACAATAGAACTTAGTTAAACGTGTTAAATTAATGCTAGCTAGTAGTAGATAGATTATTAGCAATTATTTATGATTATACTCATTCACATAAATTAAAAAACCATTATTCTTGTTTAAATGATTAATGAGAGATAAAGATATAAGTGAATTTCAAATTAACATGTTCTATGCCGAGAAAAAAATCGCTGTTTTCTCTCCGGGTCGTGTCGGTCAGTGATGGTTGACATATAGACTTTCAGTTCAAGCCAGTCAGTGATGACCGTATTTTACGAGAGTTTTCATTTTGTTCTTACAGGCAAACAATTTAGTAATTTTATACAGATAAAAAAATTTAATAGGCCTAAATGGAAATTTCACTGCCGGACAGCACTGACCGCGGTAGCAGAGAACGTGTTAAGGGGAATCCCAAACATAGATAAATATTTGCTTGATTTAATAGAAAGACTGTTATAAGAGACTCAAACTATTGTAAACAAAAAATAAATAATTTTGATGATCGTCAATTTTTTCTGTAGAAAAGAATGATGACATAGACAGTTGAATAGCACGACCATTAACATGTCACAAAACAAACAAAATAAGGGATTCCATTCACGTTATATTTAAATTAGCTTCGCTTGTGTTTAGATGTATAAAGTATATGATCATCGAGTTTCGATCAGTATCAACCAAACTGACCTACCGTTTGCCATCAAAATTATATAATTATACCTACCTGTGTTATATCACTTTATTTTTAAATTATTTAATTTAAAAGGTTATTTATTTATGACTAACTGTCGCATACGACTCTGTTCTCGCGGAATTAAAAAAACTTAATTGCCTATTCTCTACATGTACGCCAAATTTCACCGAAATCCATACATCCAAACATTCGTATTTATAATGTTAGTAAGATAAGATATACAGAGATGCCGTAATCCGACTAACGTGAATCCGTCCTTTCATACATCAGGTGTTCTGTCTCTACTATTATTGAGTTTGGTTGTTGGAACAGCACTTTTTGGTAAGACGAAGTGTCTTCACAGAGATCAACAAGGTTGCCAACTAAATTGTAACTAATTTTGATATTTACTTATAGCTAAATTCATAGCTATATTAAAATTCAAGTACTTTCACACCTTTAGATTTAAAATCGACGCTATAACGCAAAATACTTTCAAAGTTTTTTTTTTTACTATTGGTCGTTTCCTTATATCATTTTCCTCATTTTTGTTGTTTATTTTAATGATACACATTTTTCCTCATTTTTAAAAGAGTGCTAAGAAATATTTTAAATTAGAAATTGACTTAATAACTAACATTTTTTACGAAACGATTATTATTGTTTAGTCAACAGTACCTTGACTCTCCAAAACCTTTTTAAGAATTTTCTTTACCGCCACCTTTTTCGTTGTACCCTTTTTTCAATGGTCCCGTAGAACCTTTATGCTAAGTTACTATAAAATTCAAAACGATTGCTAACAACGTTGACTATCGTTGCTCAGCTACTTTCATTTTCACTTTTTTTTTTACTTAAATGAAGATTACAAAAACTTTAACATGACTTCACACAACTTGGGTAATACGAAACTTATTTACAATCGGTTACATTATCACACAAACACTATTAAAACTCTATGAACTTTGTAAGTGTTACGCACACATGCGCTCTCGTCAACCGCCGCGACGTAACTGAAAATTATTTGTATGAATGCGATTTGAGTGATGGCATAATCTCATTTAATTCTCTCATCACAGGGGATTTGTTTTGGCGGGAAATTAAATTATTGGATAAAATCCGTGATTACAGAAACCACGGTAGTCGAGTTGTTGCACGGCATTTCAACCTTTGGTCACCGGATCTAATTTAAAGGTGAAAAAAAGGAAGGAAATAAAAAAAATAAAACTGATTTAACTTTCCATATATTGTTCGTATAAACTGTATAAATACAAGCGTCTTACGTTAAACTGCATTGGTTAACAATCGTCATAAATGGACATCGAAAGCGTTTTCATATCACGACAACAACACTACCGTAATTGTGACTACAAAGGTGTACTTAAAAATAATAGTGTAGCACTTAAAAAGTTAAACTTGAGAAGATCTGTAAAAAAATTACAAATATATTATAGAAGAAGAAAAAGATAAAATTAATTAAAAATAGTTGATGAAATATACTTATAAATAACTCCATGTGCTAATCTTTAAAAAGTATTACAAATTTTTTTTTCTCATATTATCAAAAGTTTACATCGCAACATTTTAGTAATAAAATATATTTTATTAACTCACCGACTAGTCAAAACAACAGCCAAAATCTTTGAACGTGTTATAATTTTAACACTCATGCAATTAGTACTTTTAGAAAATTTAAACTTCGCGAACAAATTTTTAAATTTAGTTCTAAAACATACATATAAGAAATAAATAACAAGGCTATAATAGAAATACAATGAATGGTTAAACATATAACAACATGAATTAAAAAATAAATCAATTTTTTCTGTTTACAATATAAACCCACTTATTTTACAACATTTACCATTAATTTTTATCTGTTGCAAGAATTATAGAAAATAGCACCGGTTCCGAATAATGTATGTTTTTATAACAAGCTTATATTTTTTTAAATAACAGATTGTTTTTAACTTCAGAAATAACAGAAGATAACATTGTAGTATATTATTTTGAAAAACCCTTACCTTATAAACAAACCATTCTTAATTCGAACTAAAAATGTTTTTTTTTTTTAAATCTGGAATTCATAGCGGACAATGTTTTAAAATATTTATTACGTAATCATAATTATGTATTTTTGGCTTATATATAAAATTTATTATTTAGTGAACACACGATTTTCGTAATAAAAATCTATAAAAGTTTTGTTTTCTGTTTACCAACATAAAAATAAAGATTCTAATCTTTTCTAAAAAAAAAAGGTTCCAAATTATAAAATTAAAAAAATAGTACATTTTATGTTATATATAAATATAGAACTTTAAATAAATGTTTGTATGCATAGATGTAAATAAAACATAAATGAGATTCATTTTTGACTTTATGCGTACTATATATAATAGATAAATTATATTTTTTATCTTCAACCAGTAACTTATTAAATCCATAAAGTATTTAATAAACCTATGTCTGTAAAAACGACAAATGTTTTTAATATGAATTGTTCTATCAAGCAGTTTTATAATATAAAAATTATCTCGTCCAAAATAACTTATTTGCAAAGCAACAATTTTATTTATATATACGTAAGCGAGATTAGGAACCTAATATAAAACAGTCGAGGACATTTATTTCCTACCCATCAGTAAATTTCTTTTTACGCCCATAATGCACTTATCACAGCAACATATTGAAGGAAATTAAATTCTTTGACTGCAAATGTAGGAAACATATCCGCAATTAAGTACATATATAAAAAAGCTAAAGATTCTAGTCTCGAGACAGCGTTTGAAAATGTACGTTTATGTATGTACTACTTATGTTTAATATATAATAAAATAAATAAAAAAGCAATGAATGAGATAATTCCTAATGATTCTAATGAGATTTAAGATATTTATGACATATATATATTAGCAAACGGGTTCCGCCTGGCGTCCGCTCGACTTTGATAAATTTCTATATTGCACTTTAACAAAAAACCTAAGATACTCCTGGATAATGAAAACTTTTTAATTCTAAAAATCAATCTATATCTATGTAATTTAAATTGTTTTAATTTTAAGTATTTTTACGTATAATAGAAAATAATGCTTTTGTCATGAAATTAAAGTCGAGCCCTTATTTTTTTTTAAATTGATATGCAACTTTGTAGAGTTATCAAAAAGGTTGACACCACAAAATAACTTTATAAGTTCTATATCAAACCTAATGAAATGTGCGTCTGATTTTTTTTTCTTAATTAATACCTTTATCACGAAAATGAAATGGGTAAGAGATGAGAGAAGATTATCAGAAAAACACAATTATATGACCTAATTTTGTGTTACCTTAAAACATTTGCTAACCGTATTTAATTTTTTTATAGAAAATATTAAATTAATAATTTTACTTTCTTGGTAACTGATTTATAAATTGTATCATTTGGTTGTATAATTTATCATACACACAAACAACATACATCATACAAACAACCCGAAAAATGAATACGACAATATTAAGACACCCCGTCCAAGTCTTCTTATAACCAAAACTTGAATAACTACGGTGACCACGCAAAATACGGACAAGTCTTGAAATATATTCGTAACCATATCTTGATAGGCGACTACATTGACGACATTGACGACAATGACTACACATGCGCCGGTCCGGGTCGCTCCTGTTTCGGCGAGTTGGTGACCACATGTTTAGCGATGTCCGCGATGTTCTGATGGTCACCATGCGCGGCCAGATCGAAGTCGGACCCAGACAGTGACGCTATGTGGTTCCAATCAGAATCGCTTTTTTCACCTGGTTATAATTAAATTGTTTTAAAATGTGCGATAGTGACATTTTTATTAAAAAACTGATGTAAATGTAAAGTTGATTATTTACTTTAAGAGAACAATCTATAGTTACTTACCACTAATAGATTATCTTTTAAACGTTTTAATATAAAAATCGGAACAGTTCTTTACAGCAAAATTCCGCTAATATTTTTAATTAAAAGAAAAAAGTTCATGTGGCAATTTATTATTAAAGTGTAGGTGAACCATAATTATCTTTAGGACATTTCTGGATTGTTTAAATTTATGAAACTTAAAAAAAGTTTTAAAAAGTATATTTCTATCAAAGCATCAAAGTAAGAAAACCGAAATAATCTTACAACTAGCCAAACTACTTAAAAATCCCACACAAAATATCAAAGCCAGTCAAATTAATTGCGTAATGCGATTTAGTTGAGAAAAAAATTTAATCTATGGTATATTAGTGTTTAATCTGTTTTTTTCATACGAGTGTTGCCATAGTGTAAAAAAGTGTTACCAGCAAATGTGTTATTTATTTACCATAAAGTAAAATTTAAATTATAATAAGCTTTCATGGCTATTCTCCATATTTTATTATAAATAGAAATTTTAGTCAGAAAAATTTAACGGTAGTAATAAAATAAAAGAGATGGGTTACATTTAAATGTTCACTAATTTATAGTCATTTGTACAAATAGTCTTGAAAGCTTTAATTATGTTTAGTATTTAAAAAATTGTGGTTTGTTGGTTAATTGAATGCCGTAAGTCAAATTTAAATTTAAAAAAATCACTCACACATGTCTCTGAGAGCTCGAAACTGCAGCTTTAACTTATTGCTTAGTGTAATTCTAATTAAGTTATCATCTAAGCTCGCTTTAGTAATATGACCAAATGAAAAAAAACCTCAATTTATGTTTTTTTTTATTTCTTTTCTTATTGAGGATGTTTCATTTGGTAAGACTGCGTTGGATGTATATAACATGTGGCTATGTAACCTACTAATTGCGAAGCGTAAGAAAGTAAACTCTAACAGATAACAAATAAGGTTCAATTTAGAACAACTAAATACATTGTATTAGTAAAGCAATTTTACTACAAATATTAAAAATATAACAAAAACATTTACAAACTGATGGAATCTATTTCTTGAATTTTCAAATCATAAATTTCTTCTTTATTTATTTTTTTTCTTTGTCAATTAATATCAATAAATATGAATACAATTTAACGATGGGTTTCAACTCCCGAAACACATACAAAAATATATTTTGTTATCTCTGTTTCTTCATAGGAAATGAAAGGGATGGCAATATATTATTGTACAGGTGTTTCGGCAATGAAAACCCACGATAAGTTACGACTAATACGCTACCATAAGCTAAAGCACCCGATATATTTAAACTTTCTCCCAAATAACTACAATCTTAATTTATACCCAAAAGCGTGATAAATTTTATACATTGCGTAACTTCATCACTGAATTTATACTTGAAATTATTATGTTCTTCTAATAATACTAACGCTTCACAAATATTTCTATACTAAACTAACGTTCAGGGAAAAACTTTGGCAAGACAACAAACACTATATCTAGTAAATGCAAAATGGAAACCTAACCTAAAAAACATTCCTGTAAACACACAACACAGTCTTAATATACGACCTTCGTTAACTGATATACAACATATAATAGACTAGAACTTATGTATGAAAACGTATTATTTTACATCCAAGAAAAAATTATAATTAACTTCGCTATACAAAAAAACTTTAAAATAAAACCCTTTGGCTTTGATTAGTACAAAAAATTACTTTAAAGCTCAACTTATAATATAATTTAGCTAATTTAAAAAAATAATTATTTTTTTTTTAAATAAATGTATCACAGACATAAAACAATACATTTTTACTAACATTATAAGTAAAATATAATTTAAAAATCAGTTAAGAAAGGATCGTTGTTAGTAGGGCACACATATAAAGCGGATACGCTACCGTGCCGTGTCCTATACGCTAGTGTGGGCACCTTGCGCACGCGCATCCGAGCGCGCATCCGAGCGCGCATCCGAGCGCGCGTCCGTGCGCGAGTTGCCGCGCTCGGCGAGCGTGCGCGCGCGCGTCTCGTCCAGTATGAAGCTGTTGATGACGTACGCCTCGCGCCGGATGCGGTCGCGCAGCTCGCCCGACATGTCCGGGATCGCCCACTTCACTATTATCATCACTAGCGCCACCACGTTCTGTTTACCACAACTTATTTTAACCTCACTTTCCTTCGACTATTTCAACTGGTTAAAATTTAAAACCACATCTCTTTATAGCTCCCTCCTTCCGTCCAACGTTATATACCTCACAACTTTTTTTAAAAACATAATAATAATTAGTCGTCCGAATCCGTCTCCGCTGAATTAAAAAAAAACTCAATTAGTAGCGTATATGTTCTTCCAGACTATGTTCTACATCTATGGTAAATTTCAGCGAGATTCATGCAGCCATTCTGGAGATAACGTCTAACAAACATCCATCCATCCATCCAAATATTCATCCATCCATCCAATCATTTATAACATAAGCAAATTAAGATAAAATAAAAAGTAAATAACTTACCTCAAAAACAACAACGAAAGCAAGTCGCGCGCCAATAATATGCCAATACCAGTTCGAGTGCTCGTAGTCGTCTCCTTCTTTGTAATACCAGTATCCGGGATAGCTGCAAAAAGAGAAACAAAACCTTTCTAATCCGTAAAAAAAAGAGAATGAATTGTACCGAATGAGAACGATGACAACATATTTCGACACAAGTTTAACGGCAATAGTAATTACATTGTAATAATTTACAACTAGTTACTGTTACTAACCTGCACATAGATTGGTTATACTTGGACTCGTGCGGCGGATGTTCGAGCACGGTGACGTTGAAGTCTGCCAGCGTGTGGTTGACGTACTGGTCCAGTGAGCCAGTCGAGTACTGGTATACCAGCCGCGGAATGAACTCCGATGTGAATGCTATGATGAAACCCTACATCAAAACATACAACGGTTCACTATTTAACAACGAGAGAACGCATAGGAAAGGGAAACTATCCTCTTTCTGTCCCCTCCTCCGTCGATTAAGGGTAGGCACAAAGCATCTGCAATTGCGCTTCGCTATTTCTGTGAATTTACGAAATAATCCGACTCGAAGGACCAGATAGAAAACTTCTGATATTGCTCAACGCACAGATTTTTTTTATTTCAACAATCCCATGATGCTGTGTGTACGTATGTTGACTCACATTGGTGATGACGCTGAGCTTGCCGATGGAGTCGAGGATGCGGTACCAGACGCCGATGTCAGTGACGCGCTGAGGCACAGGCCGCCGGTAACAAGTCAGGAACTTCTTGGCATCCAGCCGCATCTCCAGTATGTTGTTGATGAGCGCGAACAGCGGCGCCAGTGGGAACGCAGCCACGAATATTGTTACAAAACCGTACTGTAACACTAAAAATAAGTTTAGTTATTAGTAAAAAACTCAAACAGATATCCTTTGTGTTTTGTTTGAAAAAAAATTATATGAAACTCACCCATTTCAAGGTACTCTGGAAACAGACCCATGTTTCCGAAGTCGACAAGCTTGAAATCTTTCACCCATTGTATTGGACTTTTTATTCTGCAACCAATAACATAAACTTAAATTAACAAGTACGTAAATTAATATGTCAAAGTGCATTACTAACTAGTTACCGGTTTTTCCTTCCGATGGTACGTATAATGTTCCACCACTTGAGCAGGTAGGGCAGGAGCATCTCCACCACAGTGTTGATGAACTGCTTGCCCACCATGATGATGGCCAGCTGGATAGACAGCTCCAGCAAACAGCCACCCGGAGCGCACTATCCAAGAAAGGCATAACAACATTTAAGTATTCCTATATCTACAAAATTTTTCTATTATAATTGTGCCAAATTTACTAAAAATTCGATGCGCCCGGAATCTCCCATACCAACACATATTAATTTATTATTGACTAGCTTTTGCCCGCGACTCCAATCGCGCGAAATTAAAGAAACTTAGTACCATATGTATTCTCTCAGACTATTCTCTAAATCTATATCAAATTTTAGTGAGATCCGTTGATCCGTTCTGGATTTATATTATTAGGAAGGTACACCATGATTTTTAAAGCTGATATCTAATAGACAAAGATTAAAAACTAACCTCTTCTTGTCTATGTCCAAACAGCCTCACGTAATCCCCGGGCCGGCCAATAAACTTGCCCTTGAAGAACGCGATGTAGAATATGGAAGCGTAGTAGTTGACGAATTGCAACAGATATATCTTGAGCGTCAACGAATCGTCGAACTCAGTTTGTGTTCGCAGCAGCTCCTTTTCCGTCAGCCATTCCGCTAAGTACTGGTACACCTGGACAATATAAAAGATATTTATTTATTTTCTTCTGCCTGTTATGATTTTGGTCCTTCGAGCCGGTTAATTTAAACTAAGAAAACTTGAAATTTGTTTCCAATGAACCACACTTTATTGTCATATACTTACATAATTAAATATGCAAATGAAGACAAGATTGATGCAGGCAGCCGTAGCAGTGGTGAACATGATGGGGTTAGATGTGATGAGGTCCTTGTCATTGCGGCGCAGGATGCTGGCACCGAGCAGAGACATGCGGTACAGCACCACACCCAGCACGGTGGCCAGCGCCAGCAGCACCAGCAGCGCCACCACACTGAACGACATCAGCGTGGCTGGGAGACGCATGCGCCAGTACGGCACCGTCGGCTCCCGCACACCGGTTACCACGTTCAACTAGCAAACGATTGTCAACTTTATTACTTTTCACATAGAGTACAAATTAATAAAATTCAATAGTATATGAGAAATAAATCTCGTATGATCGTATAAAAAATCGAAAAACAAAGCAAAACGCTCTGGTGCTTTCAACGATAGGGTAAAATGACTTTACGAAACTCAGACGAATCTAGTTAAATTATTTTATTTATTTATAAAACGTTTGCTTTGAAAAATTGATATATGTCAAAAATTGTTATGATTCATCATTAATAATGCGATATTTATTAGTAATCACCTGTGTCCTCTTGACGTGCGCCAGCCGAGCCAGGTACTGTGGTCTGGGATGCTCCTCGTACACGTCGAAACCTGTCAGGTCCCATCTGTGAGTCATCTCCGCTGAATATCGCTTCCACATCTCTAGAAAACAAGCAGCTGGAAAAAAAAACAAAAACTATTAATAATACAAAAACATATTTTTTTTTTAATATTTTTACTTTTTCTCAAATTCTTTACATAATCATGATATAATAAACACGAAATTGAATGAGCGAGCGAGAGATATACAACCGACTCACTTCATCACTACCAAGACTAGACGCATTGAGATGTAAAACCTACTCACCCCAGAAACTCATAAAGATTGCAAAGAAGACAGTTGTCGAGTTGTCGAAGAGGTAAGTTATTCGTGACTGCAGACACGTGTCTCTTAAGTCCCAGTACTCGCAGAAATAATCACATAACGGACACATCTTTATATTTGACGCATAATTGCATATGTCTTCGCTGGAAAACACAATTGAATACAATCTTACTAATATTATAAATGCGAATGTTTAGATCAGTCTTTCCTAAAGTGGGCGATAACGCCCCCTTGTGGGCGCTGCAGGTTTCAAGTTGCGGGTTAGAGTAAAAGTTTCGTTTAGAATTCTCCGTTAATATACACAATAATAAATTAATTTAATTTGAAGTTATAGTGGTTTTTAAATATGTGAAAATATGGGGGGCACTAAAAAATATTTATTCTCAAAGTGGGCAGTAGACAAAATAAGTTTGGGAACCACTGGTGTAGATGGATGTTTGTATGAAGGCTAAAAAAATTGGCACACATATAGAACATTGGAAGAACACATAGGCTACTTATTACGATTTTTTTAAATTCCCTGTGGACGGAGTCACGGGCGACAACTAGTAATCATGTATTATTCAAAGATTATATACAATTATTTACCTTGGCTTGTTAGAATATACCGTAGCAGCAGAATATATGACACAAATCAGACCAACTATAGATGCTGGGATCAACATGTGAGTATAAAAACCTAACCAAGCAAAGTACAATCCTGTAAAAAACGATATAATTTACTTTATTTTTTTTTAGTTATATTAATGTATGAAATAGATTTTAAAAAAAAATCATACCAATTTTAACTCCAAAATAATCCTTGACGTAATCCAGCGGTTGATATTTGATACATTTGGATACACTCGCCCACTCCGTGTATAACAAATGTCGCATAGAGCCAGGAGTTTTTAAATCACCCTTAAAAATTAAAAAGATATTTAAAAAAGCAAATAACATAACAGAACCAATCAAAAAAAGTAGTTTTTACTTACATCATGTAGAGGATAAGCTGCACTATAAGTATTGTAGGATATAAGTCGAGCGATGCCAAAAGCGAAGTCATCATTCTGCCGCTCAGAGAATCGTTTACGATCCAATATGAACTGCACGATACGAGATCGCACTGATGGTGTCCAGAAACAATCCGACGCTGTATCAAATCTGGAAACGAAATGAAAATTTATACCCACTTTTTAACTATCAATGAAGTATCATTATGACATAAAAAACATATTAGCCTATTGTAGAAACCAAAAACTATGCCTTAAATTCAATGTTGTTGGTCCTTCGAGCCAGATAAAGTAAAAATATAAAAAAATATAATAAAATTATGAATTTTAGATACATACAAATATTCTTTATCCTTAGAGTATATTGCTGTTAGCCGATGCTTTCTCTCAGGAAACATTTTGTGGTCGACTCTAATTTTCGACATGAAGCCATCCCAGCACGCTTGCATTCTATCTAACAGTGTATTCGTCTTCTCGTGCACATCTCTTAACGCTGAAAACTAGAAAACACAACTTTATTGCTATACAACAAAGTTCAATTTCGATTGCAGTTAATTAATATAGATACTGTAGGATTTTCGTTCAACAATAAAGTGCCATTTCAATGATGAACAAAAGCATTTCGATAAAATTGGAATGCAAGACCACTCCTCTTTCGTCGTCTTTGAAGAAACACATAAAACAACATGTTATAAACGGGAATTTTAGTCTCAGAAACCCACGGTAAGTCAACACATAGACTATTTTGTGATTAAAGTCTATTAAAGGAAAATAATCATGCAGGTCACAATTGTGCTTATGTCTCTATAATTAAAAAAAAATTACAGTAAAATATCACAAGACAACATCAATTTGAATTATTTCCTGAACAATGTTCAAGAAAACCAGCACATAACAATGACCATGAAATACACAATAACAAAATAAGTAAAACCACAATAACTGACTCACTACCGTATAAAACTTAAGATTATTTTCAACGATTAAATCTATTTTTTATGTTTGTTTTGCACGAACGTTTTATATTATTTATACAACAAATTATTGTTATATACAATTGGATGGATTGGTGGATGTTTTTTAAGGTATCTCCAGAACGGCTGAACGGATCTTGGCGGATAAAATTTGGCATAGATGTAGAGCGTAGTCGGGAAGAACACATAGGCTATTAATTAAGCTTTTTCACACCGCGTGGATGGAGTCGGAGGCAACAGCTAGTTTATAATATAATCACATGGGTGTTTTGTGGTGGTTTGTGCTTTTAACCAAATTTCTTTAATTCCTGAAATATTGGATCATAAAATTATTTTTACTAAGCGTGTGCTTCATTATTCCAAGGCTAGTGCATACTAATGTTAAATTTGATGGAAAACCGCTTTACCAGTGTACGACTACGAAAAGAAGGGAAAAATTACTTAAATTAAATCGCTTACAACTAATATAGAGTATTTGCGACATATATTCAGTAAGTCAGTCGAGTTGTTAATCAGTTTCTTAGTACATGTTAATACGCAAAATGCAATATGTTTTTTTGTAAATAAATAAAGAAAATTAACGATTAATTGTGAAAAAGAATTTATCAAGATATTAAAAATAGCATCACATTTCTTAGCGAAGAATATAATTCATAGGAAACATGACCAGATGAAACTTCCGAAGCTAACCATTCTTGATACTTTTATTTTAACATTTTCATAGTGTGTTTACGTACATTTTGTATGAAAAAGTTTTATGCATGTATCAAACATTCACCGTCTCATTGTGAAGATTTATGTAAAGCAATGATATGACAGCGTCGAAACACACGCAACCCGCCATAGGCAAAGCAATTGAGATCAAAAAGTTGTATGTAAAAAGATATTTTATTACATGGAGTTTTGGTTTAATTTAATTTGTCAATAAAATATTCAATATAATACACTTTCAAATCTCTCATTTGCGCGAAATTACGACATAAAACCACAACCAGAAGCAAATACATTGAAGATATAATTCATGCAAAAAAAATATATAACTGTTTTGATTAGCATTTTCATGCATTAAAGTACGAAGGTAGAGATCAAACAAGAAGGCAGAGCACAGACTAAATGAAATGGTAACCATGACTTTCCATTACTGTAGGATTCGACTGGTCACTTTTTTTACATATTGCTGTCTCTATTTATTTAAAGAGAATGTATGAGACGGCAATATGTATTGATACAAGTATTAGTGCAGTGGAGTTCTGCAGTTAAATTAATCTCCTTAAAGAAACTAATATATATTTTTTATACGTAACAGAAGTGAAAAGTCACGGTAATATGATGTAAACAACGAATTAGTAGACATGCAAGCAAAACATTTCAGTAGGGTTATAAAATTAATTTGTGGATACAAGTTAAATTTAGTGTTACTGGTCACTGAAATAGACTAAAAATTAAAAACTAAAGCTACTAACATAATATATAAAAGGACATAAAACTCATCAATTTTAATATTGTATGAAGAATTAGAGATGAAAATTCTCGAGCATATAATGTGACGAGAATCCTAATAAAAATATTGCATTATTACTGTAAATTTGTAACAATATATTAATGTTAATTCCTATCTATGGTTATGTATTTAAATTTCATTATATGTTCAAATACTGTTAGTTTGTTAGTTAGACAACCCGCTATCCCACCTACAACCGAGTTAATACTATGTAACAGCCATAGTGTTTACTAGAAGCGCCTTGTTAGCAAGCGAGCGGGCGCGGTCTGTACGACATCTGCATACCTTCGACATATACATGGCGGCATTCAGTATTGCATTCGTCCTCCCACTTTTTCTTATTTTACTGCAATCCTATGAACGTATAGACAATTTTTAAAAATTTGTGTTTTTAAGCACAAAATGCGTCCTTGAGTGCTTGTGCCGTTTTAATTATTATTCGAAAATGCAATCAAAAATTGTGAAATATGAAAATCGAGTGCTCTTATGAGTGACGGTGTAGAATTTAAATTCAAAACATACTGATTTTCCTTCTATTAGTAACAATTCTTTACACGAATGTCTCTTCCATAGAATTTGAATCCTGATTATATTTTACAAATTTCTAATGTTTTTTACAATTCACTTAAAATTCGATCCGTAATTTTTCTATTCAATTTTAATGATTTATGAATGCAAAAATAAAACCGTACTATAGAAAATAAAATATTTACTACGTTACATCTAAAGTTAATTTTCAAAGGAAAGTGAAGCTTAGGGTCCCACCGATGACAGAAGCCATAACACAATCCTATGTTATCTTAGTACACCGACACAAAAAAACAAATAAAATCCATTCCACGTACCTTCATCGGCATCCGAAGTTTTAATATTTCACTGTAGTCTTTTAAAACTGAAAGTGGTGCATGTATCTAAAAATAAAGACAGATAATCAGTACCAATTTAAACATAAATAATAAGTATGCCTATATAAATGAACCTCGAACTATTTGGACAATCTTTCTAAAAACTCGTGACTGAAACTACGTAGTACCTTTGGCTATGTAAATTTTAAAACATGAATAATTTTAAATACATATCACTTACTAGTATATCGCATATATGTAGATTTAGCATTAATTAACTTCACTAAGTTAGTATTTAAGTAACCATTTAAGGAATTTTAAGTGTACTACTTCCAAAACTAAAATAAATAAGCTACTTAGAAAAGTAAAATTGTTAGAACAAATTAAATAAAATACCTTAACAAAGTGCAATCCATGCAAGTTTTCCGGTGCCTCTCTCTCCAACTGCAGGCCCTCTTTTTCGAGATTCTCCTCGAATACTTTCCTTTGCTGGAAAGCCTCCGGCGTGGTAGCGTTCTCTTTGCCCGCCTCCCATACAAGCACAAAGTCCACCGTACGTACGCCGTCGTTGAAGCTCAACGAAGGGTTGTTTAGTATACCACCCATTACTATCCTGATAAGTAGAACATTTCGTATGATTTAAAGGCACATTCAGAGCGGGTAATTAAATACGGCGATTAATATTGTTTCACTGAATATAACCGTAATTCATTGATGTCAAAACGTGCAATACTATGTTTTATTTCTTTTTTTTAAAGAAAATTATAATAATGTGTTTTATAGGCATTATAGCAGAGAAAGGTAACGTTAAAAACGACAATTTCAGTTAAAGTTAAAAGAAGTTTGTGCTAGATTTTATAATTTAACATTATCTCTTTTGTTTATGAGCCCAAAATTTAAGTTACTTTAGTGGACAATATTAGTTATTTTACAGGTATTAAATTTCAGATCGTTTTAAATGTATGTGTGATAGTGGTGTCATGCAAAATATGGCCAATACATTAATATACCGCATAACAAACACCCGAAATTGCAACAAAACATAACAAGGACAGATAACATGATGAACATACAACATATATTTACAATTGACAACATCCCTTATTCACAACAATTGCAAGACGAACGAAACGAAAATATAGAACCTTGTCCCATTTCCCAATATCTTCTCTGATGTCAAACCATTACTATGTCTTGCAGATATTTCCGTAATACCGTTGAATCGCGAATAACTAAGAAAAAAAGTATATTTCACCATGAAAAATTTAAACAACCCTATACTGTACTTATCTAGATATTTTAATGTAAACCGAATCATTTCATTCATCAAATGTTATGGTTACCTAGTTATTAATTTAACGAAAATGCGTATTATTACTTATAAACTCACATTTTAAGGTTGAATTACAATAATTCCTCTTGCAAAAGTTGAATAACACTCTTATATGAACCAATCAAATATTATGATTGCAAATAACATGGTCATCATTGATCAGAAACGGCCATTAACATCAATTGATTGTGGTTTTATTAAATGCTAGTGTCAAACAGATAGTGTATATTTGTCTTTTCGAACTAGACATTCCTTGTAATGCTTTTACACTTGAAAAAAAGTAATAAAAAAACAAACAAAATATGTGTAACGTCTACAGAAAATCCTCATGCAATTAAGAGCTACTTGCTCTCCGAACAAAAAAAATAATTAAAAACTAAAAACCATGCTAAATTATTACATTATAAAGAGAAAAGATTTGTATTTTTGTATGTAACGAATATACTCAAAAACAACTGGACCTATTTGAAAACTAACAAAGGCTATATTTATTACTAGTCTTTTTAATTCTGCTCGGACGATATCATATGCAAAAACTAGTGATTTTATAAAATGATAGGATAACACAGATGTGGTTTGCTGATTTGATCAAACATTTGTCGGTTGGCCAAACGTATTACTTACGAGCAATGATTGGCCACGGGTTTCCCATTATTGTTGGAAGGGTCAAGGCGCGGTTGCGCGGGTTCGCCACAGCCGCACTCTTCCTCGACTCGAGTCGATGCTTCGCTACCGTTGTCTCTGAAATTATTATTTTCATTATACGGCCAACTACATTTTGTAAATATGATGATCAAAAATCCTAATGTTGCATGTGTAATGATGATGACCCAAGTGAACTGACTTCTTTCTATATTTTTTTAGACAATTTGCAATTAATATTATGAATATTAATAGTATAATTTATACACCAGTAAGGATACTTCAAAATGCCGTTAAGAGAAAAATAGTTCTTGATGTTTATAAAATAGAAATTGGTTTGCATCTTACATGATTATTACCAAATAATCGATCAAAATACCTTCAAAAAATACTGATTTAGAGTAAACAATAATCCGAAAACATGTAATTCCAAAGATGATTCTTAAAACCATACATCGTACACTTACATCTTGCGTGTGTACAATTTGTTACGAGGCCTTTGTGAGTGCCAATTATTAAAAAAAAATAAGCAAGCTGCTTATTTTTATAAATTTTGTGTTTTTTGCACCTTCTGGGGCAATTTTGTAACCAATGACCTACAAATATTGCTACATTTAAAAAAATGTTATCTTCAATAACCCTTTATCAATATGAAATAAAAAACAATACAATTAACAAAGACTTTAATGAAAATTAAAATTGCCCCAGAAGGTGTAAAATTTTTAAGTTTTTTAAAAATGCCATTAATTTTTTTTAATACCCGGAGGGGAATTTTTATTTTATTTTTCTGGTGACCCTTGTGACCACCCCTATCATCCCCCCTTCCTATGTACGTAACCTTTTGGGACACCCTGTATATAAAACTGCATTTGTTCTGAAGAAAAATTGGCTGAAATGTATTAACACGTTCCATTCCGCAAAATATTTTATTTAGTATAATAGTGAACTTGCTTCGCTGAAAACGAACGTGTTAAGATTTATTAAACACATATTTTACATTAGAATTAACAATTAATAGAGTATTTTACGCAAATCGATTACAACTACTATTGTTTTAAAAATAACAGGAAAACCCGGATCAATTACGATGGGAAAAATAAACCCACAAATATTGTTACTGGACCTCTTTACGTCAGATCTGAGTAACGCCTTTTTACATAAACACAAAAAAAAATTATCAAAAGTATTCTTGTATTTACTTCACTTTATCTAATTAATTTGTAGGTAATATCATTTAATCCATTATTTAATGGTGAAAAATGTATTTGTTTTGTATAGATATGTATGAAAAGCTCTGTTATGTGGAGGCTGATAACGAGTGACTAACAGACAATCAATACAAACATGATGTCATATATTAGCGCCTAATAATAGTCTAGGTTAACGCACTGCCGCTAAAGATTCAATGCTACATCGCACAAATAAATATCTATACATTGTGAGAGTAGACCTTAAAAAAAACTCAAGACGTTTTAACCGCTCGAGTCTACCTTGTTATCTTACTATTATAAATACGAATGTTTGAATGGATGGATGGATGTTTGTTAGAAGGTATCTCAAGAACGACTCCATGGATATCGCTAAAACTTGGCATAGATGTAGAACACACCCTGGAAGAACACATAAGCTACTAATTAAGATTTTTTTAATTCCGCGCAGACGGAGACGCGGTCGGCAGTTATCGCGTTATGTATGATCGAAAGTCAGTAACTTAATTTCGCTCGATTTAATTAAAAAATATAATCGCTATCGAGGTTACATTTTAAATAAGTTAGAAGACCGGTATTTAAGAAGTTGACTAAAAGTTGTTCAAGCGCTTAAGGCCAAAATTACCAAATTACCTCGTCTTTGCAACGCTGTGAGACAATCTGTCATAAATGTATCTTTAATTCTTAAAATGCTTATGTTTATCAAACTGAACTGATCTTACGAATATTATAAATGCGAAAGTTTAAATGGATGGATGGATGTTTGTATGTAGGTATCTCCAGAAAGACTGCATGGATTCCGCTGAAATTTGGCATGGATGTAGAACATAGTCTGGAAGAACAAATAGGCTACTTATTAAGGATTTTTAAATCCCCGCGACCGGAGTCACGTGCGACCGCTAGTAGTGATATAAAATGTAAACATTATTGTAAAATGTTTTAACCGTATTTATTATTTTCAGGTAATGACTATTTCAAGTTGATAAGAAATTGCTTTCATTATTAATGGTAATATTAAATACCACACCTTTGTTTGACAAAACATCCTTTGGGATTATGGTCATTAATGGTAATTAGTGAATAAAACGAAGTAAACATTGTCTATAAAATATTGTGTACGTTTCGTAGATTATATTAATATAATTAATTTATCGTAACTTGACAAAAAAATATGACGAATTTGAAATAAAAAAATCTCCCACACAAATATCACAAAAGCACACTCAAATGCCACATTCACAAAAAACAAACCAATTGTTATAGATATAAAAGAGATAACGTAAATATTCTACCTTATTCTTGAAGTCTATTTATATCTAAAAACTTGTCTAAAATGACAAGTTCTTTACAATCTTGTAATTACCTCTTTTATGTCATAAAAAAACCTTTTTTATCAGCCCGTTAGTAAGAAAACGTTAGCAACATAAATAGAAAAACAAACAAACACAATGTTAAACACAGATCTAAACAGCAAACATCTAAACTCACCGATCGGTATTCATGTCCTGTGACAAATTGTCTTGGTACGTACTGAGAACGGACATAGCCTGCAGATCGGCCATCTTCTCCTGTGTCTCCTTCTCCGTCTGCTCCAAACAGGAAGAGTAAATGTCAATCCCTTGCCGAAATCGCACCGAAGAAAATAAGCTAAAAAACTCATATCGCCAACCGCACAAACATCCTTGGCTTCGTTATACCACCAAGTCAATGACATTCATGTGCACAGATAACGAAAAAAAAGGTCGTTTACGCCGTACTTTGTAGTCGCGTCTCGCGTGCGTTCTAAACACTCTCTGCGTTCCGGCATCGTAAATAACATAACGAAGCACTTCTATAAAAGACCTAGCGATCATCGTCAGCGCTCGAGTCGCGGCAGTGGACTGCGAAAGCGGCTTGAGGCGCGCACTCACGGCCTTGGCCGTTTCACACTGAAAATCTGATTCACCTGTTTGTTTAAGATTCTCAAGAGCTAAGCTGGTACGCCGTAAAACATTTCATACACAAAGACGTTCTCTCACTTCGAGCACTGGAGAAATATTATCCATTAAAACACAGACACTCTTTTAAACTAATTAGCAAATTAGTCAAAACATTTTAACAAATTAACCAGTCACACAAGAGACATTCGTCGTCTTGCACACATAGCGACCTACTGTGTAATGTTTAGTTTGGTATTAGATTATTTCCATGCAAAATGATACGGACGTCTAAAATAAGACTTATCGCGTTTTATATATTATATAAAAAATACAACGAACGTCATAGTAGCGAAGTTGACAGATTAAGTTGAACAGCCTCACTGAAACCCTGACCAGTACAATGACATTCTCAATTAAAGATATCTTTTTATATTTTATAAATATAATATTTTGGGCACCTATCCCTTTAGGACAGTAAAGTTGAGACAAAAATTTACACAATTTAGACTCAAAACCTGAACGATTCATTGCATGGTCAAGTATCAAATAAAACATGTTTGACTCATATTCTTAAACAATGGAAATGACGTCAAATATTCAAATAACAAAAATTCGTCACTAAGTATATTACACAAACAACACAGCAATTTTATAAAAACCAGTGTGTAGATAGCCTTAGGCGGTAGTTATCTTTAATAGACCAACACAAGGGTATTTATTTGCATTTTAATTATTCTAGTATAAGAGTTAAGCACTTCTATTGCACTATCAAATTCAAGTATGAATGTGTAAAAAAAAATTTTTAAAACCAACAACAAAAACTGCAGCGAAATTTATGCAGTATAGTACTTTTTCATATAACTGTACACTTTTCACGGTAAACATTGAGAAGAAATATTAAAATATTGGTACAAACCACTGTATTGTTTTTAAAAATGTTTTTAGATAGTTTGCTGATCCTACTAATGATATATTAGTGAACAATCTGGTATTAGAAGAAATTGCTACCTAAATAACTTTATTAGTAGACTAATTACATATTTTAATGATAATGATAGATAATAAAGAGGATGTCAATATCAAAAATCATAGTGTAAGCCATTTCATATATTCTGTAATTCCTTAACCTAAAAGGTTATTTAGTCTATGCTATAAGTCAATAACACTTTTGTTTATTTAATATAACAACATTAATCATTTGTATTACGATCCAAAAGATTATTTAAATATTTGATTCTCAAATATAAAATAGAAGTATTCAACTTATCATGTTAATTATCTGACGGTATTTCGTTATCGTAAATTAAAAGTATTGTAATTGCTCGTCTGAATGACGGCCATGTTTTTCTGGCATTCGGGAAATGAAAAAGACAATGTAACAGCGGTGTTTTTGAAAAAGTTGTTGTTTACAATTCTAAAAGGAATATATGAGTTAAAGAAGTCTATGATTTATTTGAAAAAGTATTCTCCGGCTGTGACTCCCACAGCTCAGAAGTGGGATCATACGAGAACAAGCATTGTTTTCGATCTACGCCTACAAAGTTCAGATAAGTAAACCTTGTTAAATCGGACTTGAATAATAACATATTTCTAATAACCGTGGTTATAGACAATATGTAAGCAAGTACAGAGGGAAAAATTGTTTAAGGTTACAAAACCATAACAAAATAATTGAAAATAGTTTTATAATTTGTGTAAGCAGTCAAAGTAAAGTGAGGTTCACAGTCGGTATTCCACATTAAATGGTTGTTTTTTTTTGTGTCTTATCAGAGTATCGCTAGCACTCAAATTTGTTTGCTAATTAATGAAAGAGGGTGTTTATTCTCATAATGGATTCT